ATGAAACAATGAATGCGCTGGCATTTTTCGTATGCTATATGGAAAAAAAAACGTTTAGGATATCACTGATCTTACTGTTTATTCTAATACAGATACGAGCATTTCTGACATTCCTTGGGGCAAGTACAACCAGGTAGAGAAATACCATTTGGGTTGCTAATTTTGGTCTGAAATTAGTGAGGAGGGGAGACAAATTTCAAGGGTCTAGGGCGGAGGAAGCTGAAAGGTCGTAATCAGAGGAGAGCAATTTTGCTGGAGGAGGGATGGCAAAGAATGAGAGAGTGACAAAGAAAGTGTACAGAAGGTTCAACAAAATCCTTTTTTGGAGCTTGCTTGTCCCGCACACCTGCACGTGCGCGCTATTTCCCCCACGTGCGCATCTGCTGATCCAGGCACAGGGGAATTGAAAACCTTCATATGGTATTAAACCTCTCCCTCGTCTATGGGATTTTTGTCGTTCTAAAAGGATTCGTTTTTGTGTTCAAATTGACCCCGGAAACAAAGATTTCCAAATGTTCCAACCTTACATTAAAATTCTAATCAGTAAAAGGGGCGGAAGACTCTAAAATTTGCTAATCCAAGAGTGTGTACAGAATGAGACATACTAATCAAATAACACATACTCCAAAATGAGTAATGACTACATAAAGCACACACATATTAACATGTAATGGATATTCTTATCAATTCTAATATGCACCAAGGACCACTCAAAAATTTCAAGCTTGCAAAACCATACTAAGAAAATCTTTTTGGATTTTTTTTTTCTAAACAAAGCAAGTCAGAGAACGAACACGCACACACTAAATGACTCAAAAAAAAAAATATACACAAACCCAAAAACTAAAATGAATAACCAAATTAACACAAGTCAAGTTTTCTCACCCAAACTGCTTTAGTACGAACAAAGTTATGAGAATTGTGGTTATTGGGTGGTGTCTTGACGTTGTGGTTCCCTTTCCCTTCAATGGGAACCTATCTCAACGCGGTTTCCAACTTCCTATTCCTAGGTCTAGGCAAATGCACTCTCCCATGCAACTTATAACAATAAGGGCGAATATGACCATGCATACCACAATGATGACAAATAAAAACAGGGTGTACAGGGTGTACCTTCTTTTCTTTTACCTTACCAACTCTAGGAAGTTTGAGAAGTCCATCCTTATGTTGAATTTTTTGTTCCCCCTTTCCTTGAGTTCTCGTACCATGAGATAAGGAAGCACTCTGTTTTTGCTGTTTCTTACCACCAAACCCAATGCCACTCTTGTCAGAACAAATTTGTTGAGACCCAATGATATTGTCCAAAGTCTTTGATCCTTTGTTTCAAAGACCAATGGTAGCCATAGCACACTTGAGTTCTTCCTCTTTCTTGATTATTAGTTCTTCCAAGGCAAGTTTAGACATCTCGAGAGTTTCAATCTTTTCTTCATATGTTGCATAGATTTGTTGTAGCTCATTCCTCTCTGTCTCACAAGTCAAGAGTTTTGCACAAAGAGCTTGTCGATCATTAGCTATCTTGATGGCATCAATCCTAGCCTCGAAAATCTCCTCCTTTAGTTTGACATTCTCACTTTCACATGTTGTGAGTTTCATAGTGAGTTTGTCATTCAATTTCGATAACTTAAGAGACTCCTTATACAACTTTTCATAAGCTTGCTCAAGCTCTTCACCATCACTTCCCGAGGATTCATCATCAGTGGCATGCTCAACCGACCTTTTCGAATACTCTGTTCGGTCTTCAATTTCGAAAGCTGCCATGAAAGCAAGGAATTGTTTATGTCCCTCTTCGCCTTGATCTTTGTTGTCACTTTCATCTTCATCAAATTCTGATTCATCATCCCAAGTGATGGTGAGGGCTTTCTTCTTTTTCAAACGAGTGGGGCATTCTGAAGCAAAGTGGCCATATCCTTGGCATTCATAGCATTGGACTCTTTCAGAGTTCCCTTGTATCTTTCCTTTCTCCTTCTTGGCTATAAAATTAATTTTGAGTTTATCTTTGCCTTTAGATTTATGAGTATGAGTAGATTCCAAAAGATTATGATTCTTTTTCAAAAAAGATTTTTTAAATTGTTTAACAAAAGCTGCCGTAATCTTGGAATCTATCTCACAATCCTCATCAGAATCCTCTCCAACTCTATGAGCACTAATAAAAGCAATATCTTTTTGTTTCTTTTTGAAATTCTCATGTGCCTCATAAGTTTGGAGATTTCCAACCAACTGATCCAGCTTGAGATTGTCAACATCTTGAGCTTCCTCAATAACCGTAACTTTTGGTTGGAACCGATCGGGCAAGGATCTCAAAATTTTTCCCACGACTTTGGATTATGGTATTTTTTTCACCTAAATTGAAGTTGGAATTTACAATATCACTCAACTTCGCATAAAATTCATCAAAGGTCCCACGATCTCTCATTGAAAGGTTTTCGAAACTAGACGCGAGCCCTTGAAGTTTTGAGCGTTTAACAGAAGGAGTTCCCTCATGAATAGTTTGTAAGATATCCCAAGCCTCTTTTGTGACTTCACAATTGCAAATTCGACTAAACTCTTCGGGTGTGATAGCGTAAAAGAGAGAATTGATAGCTTTACTATTCCAGCTACTATTTTGATAATCAATTGTGTCTCACTTTTCAATTGGTTTAGGGAAAGTTACTCCATTAATGGTAATTGTTGGTTCAGTCCACTCATTCATGACAAATTGCCAAACTTTTTCATCTATAGATTTCAAAAACGATTTCATCCGAGCTTTCCAAAAAGAATAATTTGATCCGTCAAGTAGGGGTGATCGAACCATAGAATTTTTCTCATGAATTGAATCCATTATCACAAATCAAACAAGATCTCGTTCTAAAAGATATATTTTTTTTTAAAAAAAATAGAACGACCTGCTCTGATACCAATTGAAAAATCTAGAAAAATCCCCTAGATGTTGATTTGTGATTATGTATCAATTTTAAGCAGTATATAACAATCACAATCAAACAATCAAGACAAATCGACACAACGATTTTACGTGAAAAAATCACAATTGGACATCTCCAATTGTGATAAAACACCATGGGCAACAGCCACAAAACAATTCATTAAGAAGATATAAAGGAATTACACAGGTATACTCTCAATTACCTAGCGAGAATTGAACCAACCTCTATGTGTCTCTTCCAACCCCGTCTTCACCTCGGAATTGTCTTGACGATGAGCCATTCCGGAATCCACCAAAGCTTCAGGCTCGAATTCTTCAGAATCCACCGAAGATCAACTCTCTCTTTTGTGTAGAATCAACAAACAAACCTTTGATGTATGCTTCTTAAACCATGAGTTGAATACTCAATGAAAACATTAAAGAAAACTAGCAAAATATCTCCAAATATAAACCTTAGAACCCAAAAAGAAGATCTGGAGAAGTTATCCAAGTTTTGGGAGAAAACCAACTACTTATTGAAAACCAAAGTAATCCTAGTTTTGGAAGAAAACCAATTCCTTATAGAAATCCAAAAATCTGTGTTCGGGCGGTCTGTTCGAGCGTGGGAATTCCAGCTCGAGCAGAGGCTTCAAAATTGTGTGATTCATATAGGCTTCACGCTCGAGCGGAAGTTTCCACGCTCGAGTATCGAATCACACCATCCAGTACTTTTTCAAGCAAAGCAGAGATGTTGTGAGCTTGCAATCCCCGCTCGAGCGTCCCTTTCCCCGCTCGAGCGGGACGGCCAAAATTTAGAAAATCTGGAAAATTAGATCCTATTATAACCTTGGTTTTGATCCATGAAATTTGACAATAAAAAATCCTAACAATCTTAATCATATTATTATATTTGTTCGATTAATTTTATTTTTTATAAAAATAATATACTTAACAAATTTTATAATATAAACAATTTAATTATCAAAACATGATCAAAATAAATGAAATGAGATGTGACAACACGAGTGCTGTCAGAGCACCCACTCCCAATGCCTGACAGCACCCACCCCAATCCCGATAAAGGTATGTTTAACTTTTTAATGTTACGTGGAGACTGTAATGCATCGTGGCTTTCCGCTTTGGGCTTGATTACATTTCTTTTTATTATTGTTATTTTTTATATGACATGTATTGGTCCCTAACTTTTCTTCATTTTGACTTTTTTTTATGTTAAAATAATTCATGTGCTCTTCTCTTTCTTTCTTTTTTTTATAATTTTTGTAATCTTATATTTTTTATTTTCTCTCTTTTTTTAATTTTAATTTTTTTTTGTTTTGGAGATATCTCTTGATTGCAAATTACATTTTAATTTTGTTTTGGTCATAAATTTAATCATATAATGCCTAATTCATTATAATATAATTTGTGAGTAAATTGTGAATCTTTAACATTACTCACATTTTTATTCAACTTTTGACCCACTAGAAGACAAAAGTCTGGTTCCATCTACGGCTATGAAGCATAGACACTTCGAAAAACATATCGTACCTATACCGACTACTTACCGGCTTATGGTATCTCGTATGGTACTTCTGCATACGTATTGGATACACGAAATACGTACTCAAATTTTTTTTCTTCTTAATTTTTGGCGTACCTAGTTATACTTAGTATATACCCAAGCTGTACCGTACATCAGTTGAAATAATATTTTTTTCTACTATAAAGATAAAACTCATTTCACTAGACTTCTTTTTTATTTTTAGTTTTATGCTTAGTATAATTTTAAAATTAAATTATACTTTGTAAGTTATTTAATATATTGACATTTGATTTTGATTTATACCTCTACTTTTAACATTAAATATTAATTATAGGTTAGATCTTAACAAATTAAACTATTTAATTAATTTTTATATTACTCTAAATTAAAAATAAATATTTTTTACAAATTTGAGTTTGAAGTGATGTAATAAAAAGATAATGTAATTTAAATAGAATAATAATTTTTTTGACTTTTTAATTTTTATTTTTTTTTTAATTACAAAAATAAGATAGCATTTCTGGTAGTGACTTCTGTCCTAACCCCACCATGTCTCTCTTAGTTTTTTAGTACTTTATATATCAGTGACCAAACGTATTGATCATTAAAACCAAGAAGAGGAAGAAAAAGAAGCAGATCACAGAGAGAGAGAGAGAGATGTGTCCAAACAATAAAGGTGGTTCAGATGATCATGATAGGCCACTGCTGGTGAAGTATTCATCAGATGGAAGAGGAGGAGGTGGTGGTGGAGTGGAGGAGAGGTGGTGGAAGAAGGTGTTGGATTTGGAAGAAGCAAAGCATCAGGTGTTGTTTTCATTACCAATGATAATTACAAATGTTTCATACTACTTCATTCCTCTGGTGGGTGTCATGTTTTCCGGTCACCTCGGAGACCTCGAGCTCGCCGCCTCCAACCTCGCCAACTCCTGGGCCTTCGTCACCGGCTACGCTTTTCTGGTCTCTCTCTCTCTCTCTCTTTGATTTACTGAAATGAGTTAAATGGAAAGAAATGATTATTTCTTAAACTCTCCCAAAAAAAAAGCTTTATCATTCCACCGTAATGGTGAATGATGATTGCATTTTTTATTGTATTTTTCTTTATTTTTTTAATTAGCCAAGCATATGAACAAATATTTTGATTGAATTATCATTTCATTTTACTCAATTATAGTGAACCACACCCATCTTAAATTCAACACAACTTTTTATCACATATAAAAAGAATTGTATTCGATTTTATAATTAAATTATGTACACTCAAATTATTATTATTTTAAAATTATTATTATTATTATGATTATTGTTTTTCAACACTCTGTTATTAACCACCGTTATAATATAACAGTACATTAAAGTTTTATTTAGTGCATTGAAATAAGTTGGAATGGAATGAAATAGTTATTTTTTAAACTCTCCCGTAGAAGCTATCCTATGAAATGATCATTCCATTCTAATGGTGAATGATGATTGTATTTTTCTTTATTTTTTTAATTAGCCAAACACGTGAATAAATATTTTGATAGAATACTCAACTTGAATGAACAAAACACTACTTAAATCGGACCCAACTTTTTGTCACATACAAAAAGAATTGTATTTGATTTTATAATTGAAATATGTGCACTCAAATTATTATTATTATTATTATTATTATTATTTTAAAATCTTCAACACTGTTAGTTTATATCTCTAATCATTTCGTTAAACTTGCATCAGAACAAGTTCTATCAACTTCTTCATCAGAAGGCAAAAATAAAATTTTCACAAAATTGGATGAAATGAAATTTTGAGGGTAAGTTTGAAATTTTAAAAAATGATTTGATGAAATTTTTAAGTAAAGGGATTAGAACATTCATTTATTTTTTTTAATCAAATCAAGTTTTTAGTTAAATTTGATGAAAATTCATGAACGTCTGCTATCAAATCAAGTTTTTAACAAAATTTGTACTCATATTTGATTTTAAAAACAAAAGAGTTCACTGCTGGAAATTCTGGTTTTAGAGGCGTTTAAAAAACGCCGCAATAGGTCCTAAAAATGCCGTTAAATATTTTTGTGGCGTTTAGCACCAAACGTCGAAGATGCGGCCGTCGCTATAACTCTGTGGCGCTTTATAAACGTCGCTATATGCCAATAGGCGGCGTTTTCTAAAAACGCCGCTAAAAGTTCTACCAACTGTAACATGACGTCATCATGCTATTTAGCGACGTTTTTAAAACGCCATCGTATATCTGATGCTATTTAACGACGTTTTTAGAAACGATCAACAGAGTGCTGTTTTAAGAAGTTAGATTTTTTTTTTTTTTTACTTTTTAGTTTTTTTGTGTTAAAATAGTTAATTTTTTTGCAACTTTTTTTTTAATGATTTTTGTGTGTAAAAAAGCTAAAAAAAAACCATCAAAAATGAGGTTGACGTTTTCGTATGGTCATATTTTCGTATGAGATAACTTAAGGAGCTTATGAAGTCTATCTTGAGATCTGTTTCGATGATTCAAATTATTTATTTTGTATGATTTTCTTGTGTAACACTCATAAAAAAAATTAGTTTGATCCTATAATCGTAACATTTTTGTTTTATTACAGTTGTCTCTAAAAAATAGGCGGAAATATATTTTGAAAATAAAACACCTTTTTTTTAAAGACAAACACAATAAAATAAAAACGTTATAATTATTGGATTGATTTAATTTTTTTATAGATGATATACATTGAGGGTCTTATAAAATGAATGATTCAGATTTTCGAAACATGACTTGTAGTGAGCCACATGGACCCTTCTAATTCTCTTTTATTGTGTCACGTCTCGGATTTACGAGGCCTGGCCCATGTGGGTAAACCACCCAACGCTAGATGATAACTAACAACACTTGTGTAGATGTATATAATATAGCCACACAGTACATGTGTTATTCTAATTTTATACATTCTTAGATACAACATCTAAGTTGAATAGATGCTCTATAACTAAAACATACAAAGATGTTATAATCAAATTAAAATGCCCAAAGGCTTATATCATATACAAAGGGTGTAACCCTTACAAGAATGGCACACGGCCAACAGTAACATAAATGACCCAAGGCCTACAAATAAAGGAACTACCCTGTGTGGTTTCGAATACAATTTCACAGTCTCAGTCCACATCCACATAAGCATACCTGAAAAAAATATTTTTAGCCACGTAGGGTGAGCATAAAGCCCAATAAGAAATATTTTCAAAATTAAATAAGCTTCACCAGTACAAAATGATCATGAATGCAATACATACATATATAATATGCCCAAAATGCATTATCAAATCCACTTGTTTTCTCAACCAAAACCTTTTTTTCCTCTTCTTCAAAACATTTCATTTATTCAAAACGTTTTCCGAATTCAATGCATTAGTTTGATATAAAATCCATTTCCACAAGTCAATCTAGGTATCTCAATACCAACTAGCGATTTCATTGCCAATTCCAATACGAATACATTGTTAACTAACAACAATTACATTGCTAAGACCGTTTTAAAATCATTTCTTTCCAAAACCAAAATGATAATAAATAAAATGGGTAAATCTTTAAAACCAATACAACATTTCATGGGAATTTTATCCGCGGGAAACAATCAAACAAGATCCATGTAAATGTAGGCTATACAAACACTACCATAGCCTTTTTACGAAAATTTCGTCCGCATGATCGGCACCCATGTATCGCGCGGTTTTCGACACTTTCACTTTGGACACACAGGCCAACTTATTTGATGTAACAACAACAATTTCTCAGATTTACCATTTTATTTATTCTTTCCAAATAGCACAATACATGTGGTTCAAAATAATGCAAATGTTCCCAAACATAATGCGAGAATTTAAAAAAAAAACCTCTTTCCAAAACATACAATTTAAATTTTCAAAATCCATTACATGCTCTATGATATGCGTGATTTATAAACAGCCCAGTTTGCCTAGTTCACATGCAATTTCTACGACAATCATAGCTATCCTCTACCGATAGCCCAAAACGGATTTCTCTAAATAGATAAATAAATTCCATTAAAGATACACTTTTCCAAAATCTCAAATGAGAGTGATAATACATATCAAACTCCACCATCATCATTAATCATCATTTCAATTTCACATTTCTTAACATTTATTTCATTTCCTCTTTACAATCTCAACATTTACATTTTAGGGCATAATCTATTTCCTCTTTGAAAATCCATTTCAATGCAAAAAAATATCTCATTTTAATATATATCAACTCCAATTTCATAATCACAACATTTTTTTCAAGAAAACATTTAAAAACTTCTCTTTTACATTTTGATTTAATAATTCAACTATTTCCCAAAAGAACAACATTTTAGGATTTTTCCAAATTAGGGCTTTTTACTTTTTAACAACTTATATGCATTTTTGTAAGTGAAAAAAAAAAAAAAAAATTTGTAGCTAAACCATAGCTCAACAATCCCATTTGGACAAACCCTTATTTACAAAAACAAATTTCCAAAAATCAATTCAATAACAATGGAATATATATATTTAAAATGCACAACAAATACACTACCAAACTCATATTGAGTTTAAGAAATAGATTCTACTACTTGAAGCAATAAGGAAACAAGTTATAAAATCACCGGTGGCAAAACGGCGATCCGTTGAGATTAAATGGAAGCCCTCGTCGTGCTCTACATTTTGGTATATGGAACTAGGGGTCAAAGATATATAGAAATAGATGAAATCAAGCCTAAAAAGCTTGAGAAATCAAAAATGGCAGAATAAGAGAGGAAGGGAAGTGAAAAATGAAGAGATTTGACCCAAAAAGTGACTTTAAAAGACGTGATTCTGCAAAGTACGCTCGAGCGTTGAAAGTTGCGCTCGAGCGCACTATGCTCACAGCACAGATTCTCAAATTTCAAATAAGCATAACTCTCTCGTCTGGACTTTATTTAGGGTTGTTCTTGTGTCCAAATTGAAACCCTAGAAGTAAGCTTTCCAATGGTTCTAACCTCACATCAAGATTCAAAGTGTAGAGAGAGAAAATGATAAAAGAGTGAAGACTACTCAATAACAACTATTTGAATTTGGAGTTTTTGATTCAATCTCACTCAACCACTATGGTAACACCTAAACCAAGGCTTAAACATCAACTAAGAAGGTTCCAAATCAAGATAATCAAAGAGTCAAATATAATTCCATTATAACAGGAAGTACATAGTACTACAACCTCCCCACCTTAGGAAATTTCATCCCTGAAATTGAAGAAACGCTAACACCCAAAAGCCACTCAACGATTACAAAGGAAACAACACCAACCTACGTTTAGATCCATCGTGGGATAAGTTCCCAGATTCTAGGATCAATATCTCGGGAACCCACAGATGCCAGAACAACAAAACACCAGGGAACAAACATGGATGCCTCTTCGACCTACATAACTTGTAGTGGTTTATGAGACAAGAAACAACAACCACCACAACAACAACGATAACCACTCAGACTCAAAGATGTCAACCATGCCTGAATCACCGACAACACCGAAATCACCACTGAGTGCTTAAACGCTCAAACACAAAATAAGAGAACTCCTCGCACACCAGACTCTCGATCAAGTCTCAAAACGAGAACATAAGGTAAAATACGACTAAAGAATAACGAATACGGCATAACAAGCCTTGGACAAATTCTAAACCCCTGTAAAGTAAACACATAGCACGTAACTAGCAACTCAGGCTAGATCACAACACACTGCATAACACAAGGTACCATATCCAAATTAAAGAAAATTCCTTACTTTTCCCATTTGTCTCAAAACACTTCGCTTTTTGAAAAGGCACTCAAACCGCACCGTCACAATCTACATACATTTTCAACTGTCCACAACCAAGCTCACAGATTTCCAAACTGTTTTTCTGAAAAACATAGATGACATTTATAACGCAAAACCATTTTCATTTTGTTTCTAATTTG